AGGAACAGGATAGTTCTAGAAAACGTGTGATACTAGTCACGTGATCTCGCTGACGCAACAATACGATACGTTAAGAAATACTACATATGATACATTAAGAAATACTACATACGATACATTAAGAAATACTACATATGATACATTAAGAAATACTACATACGATACATTAAGAAATACTACATATGATACATTAAGAAATACTACATACGATACATTAAGAAATACTACATATGATACATTAAGAAATACTACATACGATACATTAAGAAATACTACCTAAGATGCATTAAGAAATACTACATACGATACATTAAGAAATACTACATATGATACATTAAGAAATACTACCTAAGATGCATTAAGAAATACTACATAGGATACATTAAGAAATACTACATAGGATACATTAAGAAATACTACATACGATACATTAAGAAATACTACATAGGATACATTAAGAAATACTACATACGATACATTAAGAAATACTACATACGATACATTAAGAAATATTACATATGATACATTAAGAAATACTACATACGATACATTAAGAAATACTACATACGACACATTAAGAAATACTACCTAAGATGCATTAAGAAATACTACCTAAGATGCATTAAGAAATATTACATACGATACATTAAGAAATACTACATACGATACATTAAGAAATACTACATACGATACATTATTCCCCACACACATAAGAATGGAGGAGCTCGTGGAGAAAATTAACTTATGGAAATGACATAGTGCGTTCAAGTGACTGGAGCGATGTTGCTGGTAATACCACGTGTGGTAACCTGTAAACGAAGACGACTGGAGCGATGTTGTTGGTAATACCACATGTGGTAACCTGCTAAACGAAGATGATTGGAGCGATGTTGCTGGTAAAAACACGTGTGGTAACCTGTAAACGAAGACGACTGGAGCGATGTTGCTGGTAATACCACATGTGGTAACCTGCTAAACGAAGATGACTGGAGCGATGTTGCTCGTAATACCACGTGTGATAACATGCTAAACGAAGATAAATGGAGCGATATTGCTGGATATTCAACGGCAACAGTAATGTTACAGTAATTAGTTTCAACGGTAACAGTAATGTTACAATAATTAGTTTCAACGGCAACAGTAATGTTACAATAATTAGTTTCAATGGTAACAGTAATGTTACAATAATTAGTTTCAACAGCAACAGTAATGTTACAGTAATTAGTTTCAACGGTAATAGTAATGTTACAGCTAATTAGTTTCAACGATAACAGTAATGTTACAATAATTAATTTCAACGGTAACAGTAATGTTACAGCAATTAGTTTCAATGGTAATAGTAATGTTACAGCTAATTAGTTTCAACGATAACAGTAATGTTACAATAATTAATTTCAATGGTAACAGTAATGTTACAGCAATTAGTTTCAATGGTAATAGTAATGTTACAGCTAATTAGTTTCAACGGTAACAGTAATGTTACAATAATTAATTTCAATGGTAACGGTAATGTTACAGCTAATTAGTTTCAACGGTAACAGTAATGTTACAATAATTAATTTCAATGGTAACGGTAATGTTACAGCTAATTAGTTTCAATGGTAACGGTAATGTTACAGCTAATTTGTTTCAGTGGTAACAGTAATGTTACAGTATGTTACATATCTGCTTGTTTGTTAATTTCTGGTAGAAATTCTTTCCCAGAAACTTCAGCGATACAAGTCCATTCTTGGTTAAACCAGTTTATTCTTTCTCGATACAAACTTTTAACACACAGTAATTTTACAATTAGTACATTTCTAATCTTAACTACTTTTATAATACACGCTATAAATAACAGCGATTCACAATCTTGAAAACACACACTAGCTCAAACAGAATCGTAAATTACCCAAAACTCTCTTGATTCATTCCCGCAGGCTTTTTTCTGCCAAGCTTATTTACTAAAAAAGAGGGCGTCCCGAATAAACTCGGTCTTCCTCGATAATTCATGATCACTCGAGAAATTCATCACGTGTTACCAGCGTCACGTGGCTTCCGCTGTCGTAACAACCAATTAGTTTTAACGGTAACAGTAATGTTACAGGATTCTTCCATAGATAAGGTTGAGATTTCTGATAAGTTACAGAAATATATTTATGATGAAATAAATAATAGGCTTACGAACCAGTTGGATTGATTCCTGTCACTTCTTGTCTCGCGGCTGGATAGTCAGGGCAAAACACTGGGAAATCCACTTTGACTGACAGGTGGATTACACCTAACAGTCTGGGCAAAACACTGGTAACTCCACTTTGACTGACAGGTGGATTACACCTAACAGTCAGGGCAAAAACACTGGTAAATCCACCTCAACTGACAGGTGAATTACACCTAACAGTCAGGGCGAAAACACACTGGTAGATCCATCTTGACTGACAGAGGGATGAGGCTAACAGCAACTTACGAACCACTCGCCGTGATATATTTTATAGCAGTATTGGACAATACAGTTTCTGACCTCAACATGCGTATCATCAGGTGGTCATGACCTTGAAATGTTAATTCAGAATCCTACCAGACTGATGAAGTTAGCAGTCAAGGATCAAGTCAGAACTTATTATTTGATGGAATACTTGTTATTTAAAGGTATTCTGTCACGAATGAATTCAAGAAAGCTGAAGAAATATTGGCAATTGTAATTGTGAATAGTAGCACAAAAAACGACGGAAAACTCTTGAAGTGAACTGTCCTGAAGAGGAGAAACAACTGTATATTAGACGAGAATAGAGCAAAAAACTGTGTATGTTTATTACAGAAAACTCTTGAAGTATACGGTGCTGATGGTTGTGGCAAAAAGGGTTAACAGTAATTACGAAAAATAATTGGATACGAGAAACTCCAGAAGATTGCATCCAGTTTTTCTAGAGTTCCTACCCAATTGATTCTTGTACCGATTACAGCTTTCAGTTCCCACCCAACTGATTCTTGTACAACTTACATCTTTCAGTTCCCACCCAACTGATTTCTTGTACCGCTTACAGCTCTCAGTTCCCACCCAACTGATAACCAGTGATTTTTGTACAACTTAACAACTTAAAGCTTTCAGTTCCCACCCAAATGATAACCAGGGATTCTTGTACAACTTAAAGCTTTCAGTTACCCGATTAAGAAGGGAACTTAGTTCAGTAAAACGTCATTTTTAAATGTGTTCAAAACCCATTAATTTAACCAATTGTAAGACATTTTTTCATTCAAGCTTTATTGGGTGTGTTTTTGAATGTCAACGCTATATCTTGAAAGAAAAAATTCATTTTATAAAATGTTTTTCCTGCGTAATTAAACAACAATACAAACTCTGACTTTTGCTCCAAAATACATAAAGCATACACACACACGTGCAGTATATATGTAAAATGCATAAACACTCACATATATGCAGCCTACGTAAATACACACACATGTATAATTATAGATTAGTTAAGACAACTTTCTCTGGAAAGAATCTAGTTTAGGAGAACCACAGATGAATAGCCTAATTTTGTAACTTTACCAGAAGTATTGGCATCAAGAAAACATGTTTTGTATTTTATCTGAATTTTCTTGTTTTTGGATTCAAGGACAAGAGATTTCCAACTTATAGCTAAAATATTACCTATTAAAATTATTACCTATATAGCTAAAATATACACAAAAGTAAAGTTGTCTTGCTTCATATTTCCGCAGTTCATAATTTTAAATTGAAAAACTATAGAGGGAAGGCGGGTAGTCAATAACATTTACCTCCAACTATAGAGGGGAGGTGGGTAGTCAATAACATTTACCTCCAACTATAGAGGGGAGGCGGATACTCAATAACATTTACCTCCAACTCTTGGGGGAAGGCGGGTAGTCAATAACATTTACCTCCAACTATAGAGGGAAGGTGGGTAGTCAATAACATTTACCTCCAACTCTTAAGGGAAGGCGGGTAGTCAATAACATTTACCTCCAACTCTTGAGGGAAGGCGGGTAGTCAATAACATTTACCTCCAACTCTTGAGGGAAGGCGGGTAGTCAATAACATTTACCTCCAACTCTTGAGGGAAGGGAGGGGAGTCAATAAAATTTACCTCCAACTCTTGAGGGAAGGCGGGTAGTCAATAATATTTACCTCCAACTCTTGGGGGAAGGAGGGTAGTCAATAACATTTATCTCCAACTCTTAAGGGAAGGCGGGGGTTCAATAACATTTACCTCTAACTCTTGAGGGAAGGCGGGTAGTCAATAACATTTACCTCCAACTCTTGATGGAAGGGGGAGGGGGAGTCAATAACATTTACCTCCAACTGTTGAGCTACTCCAATCGAATATTGGGATTTGACTGTCACTATAATAACGCACTCACACTCCAAATGTCCAAAACTGGACTTGTATTTTTGCGGCAATAGGACAGGGTAAGTGTTTAGAAGAATTATTTAAAATGTTCATAATGTTGCATCTTGAGAATATTGTTTTCGAATATCGCGTATGCCTGAGACGCTGTTTCTAATCCTAGTTAACATGTGGGTTATCTTTCACTCGTATCATTCATTTCACGAGATAAAAGCTCCAGAGGAAGTGGTGTGTACAAGATGAGAACAATGTTTTATAACAAGTAGTATCTCCTCCTATTTGATCATCCTTGCACGGCTGATGTCCTTTCTGCCGAAATTTGAGTCCTGTTAGTCCATGAGACATAATACATATAACCAAACAGGTTAAGTATCGGTCCAAGCTTCATGAAGAAATCTGTTTGTTTGTTGTATATTTATTACTCAATACTGTTATTAGTATTTTCACAACTACTTGTGAACGATAAAATAATTGGTGTATAACTGGAAACATGAAACTTTAGAACATTTTAAGAGCATGTATTTTAAAGCTAAGCATTATTAAGTTGTTACACCTCACTAGATGGCAATAGTATATATTACAGTAAGTCTCACAGTGGCTTACGGCCGCGGATAATCTTAATGACCAGCTCAGTACGCTCTGTTACAGGCTGTGGAAGCTGCCTGTAGAGAACAACGAGTGTGTAAGATGAAGACATCGCCAGAAACGCTTGGGGGCGATCCGTGCCCTGGAATCCGAAAATATGCTGAAGTAGCGTACAAGTGCCGGCCAAGTAAGTCTCAGAACTTAGTGTTCTATTTGCATAATAAACTGTAGTTTCTGATGTTTAGCATTGTCAGATGTATCTTTCGCTCTCACTGCTCTATCTAAAGCAACCAACCGTAGAATGTCTGGTTCTTCTGACCATTAACTGTTTAACTCCCTCCCCTGTAGCCCTCACTACTCTATCTAAAGCAACCATCCGTAGAATGTCTGGTTCTTCTCACCATTAGCTGTTTTACTCCCTCCCTTGTGGTCCTCACTACTTTATCTAAAGCAACCATCCGTAGAATGTCTGGTTCTTCTGACCATTAGCTGTTTAACTCCCTCCCTCCCTTGTAGCCCTGACTGATCTATCTAAAGTAACCATTCGTAGAATGTCTGATTTATCTGACCATTAGCTATTTTATTCCCCCCTCCAGCCTCAGCATTTTTAATGTTTCAATATCTGTAACTGTAACATA